TTTTGTGAAATCTACAAGGATATAGTTAAAAGCTCAGACAGTATTTTACAGATATAAATACACACACACACACATATTCACTGGCATTCATCTAGTATAATTTAGTGGCTTAATCTAAGGAGAAAAATAAGCATTCTGTTTGCTTTTCCTGTAAAAATAAAATTACTAAATGTGTTTTTAGCAATGTAGGACCACCTATTATAGTGTGTGCTACCTTCAGGCTAAGAAATTCCAAGCTATCATTTTCATCTATGTCTATGAAGAACGTTCAGTGAATTGTTCAGTATGAGAAACCCGAGAAATGAGTCTAGATTCTCAATGATTTAATTTTAATCTAATTTAATCTAGCTTTAGTCAAAACTAAAAGGAAGACAAGTGGTTTGCTACTCTCTCTCTCTCTCTCTCTCTCTCTCTGTCTCACTCGGTTTTTGGCACAAACAAGTGGTGCTCAGGGCTTACTCCTGGCTCTCTGAACTTGGGGATCACTCCTGGAAGTGCTCAGGGGATCATATATGGTGCTGGGGATCAAAAGCAAGCCTGCTGCATTCATGGCAAGCACCCTACTCACTGTACTATCTCTCCAGCCCTCACTTTTGCTTAACTATCTGCTTTAGAGACCAAAGATAGGTCCATCATGCCATTTCCTGTCAATATATGAAATATCTGTCTGTCTGTCTGTCCTCCCGTTGTTCACTGATTTGCTCGAGCGGGCCCAGTTACGTCTCCATCTTGAGACTTGTTACAGTGTTTGGCATATTGAATACATCACAAGGAGCTTGCCAAGCTTTACCAGGGAGGAAAAACAAAACGCATGTTTTCAGTACTCTGAAATCATTTATCTTAAGTTTCTCAGGATAACTGGAAATAATTGAAAACGTACAATAATTTTAGGTTTTAAATATTTTGGAAACTATTCCACTGGGTCAGAATATCGTATTTATAATAGGATTCAATATCCTACTCTTCTTTATATATAAATAACAGTTACACCCTGCTAGACAGATGCCCTACCATATAACTTTCTCCCTGGTCCTTCAATGTGCTTTCCATCAAATAAGTAGTTTTAGCTTGCCGGGCTCTCCAAGAGGGGCGTAGGAATCGAACCCGGGTCAGCCACGTGCAAGGAAACCCTGGCAAACTACCGAGAGTATTCCGCCCACACGGCAAAGCCTGGCAAGCTACCTGTGACATATTCAATACACCAAAAACAGTAAAAACAAGTCTCACAATGGAGATGTTACTGGTGCCCACTCGAGCAAATCTATGAACAACGGGAGGACAGTGCTACTGGAACAGAAGTACGAGCCCAAACTTCAGATCAGTATTAACTATACAGAGTAAGGAAATAGCATGTGATCTATAAAAACATACTGTGGCTGTGGAATGTAGTTGTTTGGATAATTATCCACTTTTTTTAATCTTTTGTACACATATGTAACTTTGGACCACAAAACATAAACTATAATTTCTAAGCTCTAAACCTACAGCTGCAGTTAACTGTGGAATTTAACTAATCACTATCATTTGTTATTTTTGCAGTACCAGAGATTAAGTTCATAACTTGAAACATGCAAAGATGTGTTCTACAGTACATTATATACCTCGTCCCTGCCTGTAGAATTTAAAAATCATAGCTCTATTCCTGATGTGGCAGATTTTCTGAAGAAAGGAAGAATAAAAATCACTTCATAAGATAAGTAAAAAATTATATACACATGCTTATAGACTTTATAAGATTATTAATGGAGAAGGTAAAGGGTATGTAAATGCATGTTTAAACAAAACACAGTTGATTTTATCTCACTAAGCAAAAAACTCACTGAAGTTGAGATCTACTTAAAACAAACCAATAGAATAAAGTGACAGTATTAAAAAGACTTTTTTCTTAATCCCTCAAATGAATGAGAATAGTACAAGAAGGTTAGTTCTAGAACAAGTGCTAAAATCAGTTCTTTGCCAACATATACTTAATTTGGATTTAAACCAACTCATTAAATGTTAGCAATTTAAACAGGACTTATGTAGTAAAGATAATCTTTTCCCTCCTGTCTGAAAATTCTTTACAACATTTAATTGGTAACAGCATTATGCCAAGAGCACAATAGAATTTGGGATACACTGACAGAGGTAACCATTTGCAAACCCTATTATAATTTATTTTTCTCTGCAGTAGCCAAGAAAGAGATAAAACTGCAGTAATCACTAATACTCAGATTTAAACACGATGAAATATAAAATACCCCTAGGACTGAAGCATGAGGTTTATGCTGGAGGTCCAGGTTAGCTCTCTGGGCACTGCATAGTCCTGCAAGTATAGCTGGGAATGAGCCCTTAGCACTGAGCCAGGAGTAGTCTCGAAAAACTGCTGAGTAAAACTCTAAAGCAAAAGTAAATAATCTTTGGTGGGTAGGAAGGTAAGTGATAACCATTGAAGGTTATAGTAATGTTTGTTATTTAATGTGAATGAGCCTAAGTTCATTTATCATTCTTTTCATATCTGCATTATTTAGTCTATCTACGAATATTAATCATCTACTATGTGCATGTATTTCAAGAAATTGAAAACACATTATTAAATACAACAGACACAAAATTATCCCAAGAATCTTACATAGTATACTATGGAAGATTGTCAGACATAGTCAGTGATAAACACTGTAAAGGAAACTAAATTGGGACAAGAAATTGAAGAATTATATTTGATTTATTCCCTTAATATTACTAACGTTCAGGAAAATTTCCAAATTTGAAATTCTTATAGTGAATCATCATATTTGATGAAAATGACACTTGACAGAAAAAAACAAACAAACATATTTTGTCATGAACATACTTTTCATTTGCTTAGCCATATCTGTTCTTTGATCTGCCAATATTTTATTTTTTATAGTTTTCCTTCATTTGTTTAACCAATGTCATGTATACTTTTTCATTAAGACTGTTTTTAATATCATAATTCTAGTGATATATTTAAAATTTGAGAGCCAGTGAATTCAGTATTTTTAAATAAAAAGTTTTATATTTTGGCAACTTAAATGAGCATGATATTTACAGAAAATTAAGGAAAATAGCTTGTCACATCTTCACAAAAGTACACTCCAAGAGGATTACTGATCTTGAGAGTAGACCATAATCCATAAAATACAAGTGCTTTTTCTTTTACTGAAGAAAAAATTGGTAGAACTCTCCAGGAAAGTTCTACCAATAGAGGAATCTTCAAATAGGTAACCACATTGGCAAAGAACACAAAAACAAAAATAAAAATAAACAAATAGGGCTACATCATAGTAAAAAGCTTTGGTGCAGCAAAAGAAACACAAACTACAATAAAAAGACATACTACCGAAGGATAGGAAGTATCTCTAATTAAAAAAATAATAATAAAAAGAAAATATTTGCATGCAGCATATCAGATAAAGGGCTGATATCCAAGATCTATAAAGCATGCCCCAAACTTAACAACAACAAAATTCAATAACCCTATGTACAAACGGGGTGAGAGAATGAACAGACACTTTTCCAAAGAAGATACATGGACAGCCAAGAGGTGTATGCAAATGTGATCATCATCACTTATGATTAGGAAAATGCATATAAAACACTGGAATATCATCCCATGCTGTGATAATGGCCCAAATTTAAAAAAAATCTGAAAAAAGCCAGTTTTGGGGGGGGGTTGGGTTGTGATATGAAAGGAATGCTTATCCACTATTGGTGGGAATGTTGTCTGGTTCATCTCTATGGGAAGAAATGTGGATATCTCTACAAAATAATAGGAAGACCACTCCCACAGACCCAATGACACAATTTCTTGTTATTTATCTCCAAAGCATAAAATCTTTATTATAAACGGTATATGCATACCTATGGTCTTAGTGCAATAGCTAAGATATAGGGACAACCTAAATTCTGAACCACAGATGAACAAACTAAAAAGTTGTATATATACATGATAAAATTCTATGCAGCACAAAAAAAAGTCATTCATTTTGAAGCAGCACGAATGGACCAGAGGATTTCCTACTGAGTAAATGAAATTTTCAGAAAGAATGGGATGGTTCAGAATGATCTCTCTCCTATGTAGAACTTAAAGATACAAAGCAGGGTAGCAAGGAAGAGCCAAAGGCAACACGATGGGAGAACTAACTGATCAATACAACTGAGTCTGGTTGTGATGATTGAAGGAAAGGGGCATTGCAGTCCTTGCGGGAGGAAGGCGGGTATACTAGTGATAGGTGTGGTGTTGGAATTATGTGCATGGGAAACCATTATTAACAGTATTAGATAACACAGAACCTAAAAAGAAGTCTGGTTGTGATGATGGATGTGTGATCTTTTCAAATAAAAATCTTTGAAAAGAATCCAATAGTAAAAATATAAAATTAAATTGATACAAAAAGTATTTGTTAAACAACAGAAAACCAAGAAATGACAAATATTAACTCTGGCATATATGACACATTTATATGTGTCATAGGATGGTAAGAGTAGCAGTTAGTTGTAAGGAAAGATAATTTAAATTCAAGAAAAGATATTTAACTTAAAGAGAATAGAGTTGAACTTCTATCAATAATTTTACACAGAAGTATATTTATATATCACATATTTCTTAATGTTCAGAGTATCAAAGGTCACATGACATGAGAAATTAACCACAGATTGTCTTGAAATATTAAATTAAAGATGCAGAGAATCTTCAAGAGGATTTTCAATTTTTAAGATCCTCCTGACACAGTTTGAGAACCATACAATAAGTTACGGAATGTGTGTGTGTGTGTGTGTGTGTGTGTGTGTGTGTGTATAAATATATGTTGGTTAAAAGAGCTACAGTTTAATAAGGATGAAGATGATAACAGTACCTACCTCTCAATATTGATTTTAGGATTGGATGAGTATATAGAAAAGTTTGTGACAGTAAGCAGTACATGATCTAGCAAAGTTAGCTATTAACTCAACTAATATTTCTTCTTAGATAAAAAACAAAACAAAACGATACTTACTTTTAAGAAAACCTGAAGATCCTGAGTCTGGGTGTGCTGTAGAATGTCCTGTTGTAGATGTCTGAATATAGCTATACAGATGTACACCTGATAATCAGGGCCAAGGAAAACACAAGTAGCAATATAATGGCATATTTCCATCCAATCTAAATAATTCCAGAAACACTGAGTTATCCATTGTAGACATATCTAGAAAAGAAGTCAATTTTTTCAGAAGTTTATTATAAACCTATTTGACTTAACAAGCAGCAACTGGTAATTCACAGAAAACAAATGAAGAGCTTAGCATTTAGTAAAAATAGACCTTTTTTATACAAGGCTAACAAAGATGTTTTACCTATTTGCTAAACGTGTGAGAAAATTTTCATGGCCTTAGGATTCAAGATTCCAGGTTACCAATGTTGTTCATACTGCTTTAATACTTACTGATAAATAGTATCTTCATTCATTTTATCATCCTCTAACTCATAACACAAGTCTCTTCTCTACAGATAACAAATACTAAGAGATTATTTAAATTCAGAGATGGAAATTTTTTCTATCCTACCTATATTCACAGATGTACAATTATGCAGATGACAGATTGCTAAATGCTACATTAATGCAAGTGGACTCTTTCAGAATCAGAAAACAATTTAAACCAAACAGAATTATGTAACATAAAACTAGGAGCTAATTTAAAGAATAATTGAAAAATGAGACATTTTACAAAGATTATCTTTTTGTATAACATTTGTTTTGATTATGAAAGCAATGCAATTCAACTGCACCAAAACCAGAAAAAAAATTAGGGGAAAAGAAACAATAACAATGACACATATTATCACAGTAACATTTTGGTATATTAATATTAGACATCATTTTCTCTCCCCCCCTCCATAAGTCAAAGTCATAACCCCCAATACCTGTGAATGTATCAGTATTGAAAATAGAGTTCTTTACAAAGGAAACCAGGCTCCAGTGAGGTCACTAGAGTCAATCCCATTCCTATTTAACTGCTGTTATACAAAAAGGGAAATTTGAACAGACACAGACACACAGAGAAGAAAGATGCTGAAAAGACATGGAGAATATTACTTGAAGACAGAAAATTAGAGGAATAAATCCACAACACAAAAACAACTAAGAAAATTAGAAGAGAGGAAAAAAATTGCCTTTGTCTAGAGGAAATTCTTCCCTAGTGCCTCGAGGAAGACTTTATGATCTCACTCTGAATCTGGCCTCTGAACTCAGAAGCTGAAAGAAAAGCATTCTTACTGTTTCAAGCAATCCTAGCAATCTAATACAATTACTCCACAGCATTTTAATTTTTGTTTATAGTTTTAAAATTACCTTTCACCCTGTAAAAGTCCATGTCCAAATCTGCCTCTGCTAGGACACATGCCCAATCTAATGACCCACCTCATTTTCAAAATCAATCAGTCTCAGGTTCCAGAGTTGGTTTAGAACTTCAACCTATGAATTCTTGGGTATAGGGGCACAATTAATTTAAAAACAAGATCATCACTGAATTTTTACTTTCCATGTAATTTGTATGTGGACATACCATTAACCTTTTAACTTCAGCCAATATGAGTATATTTTTCATATCCTCTGGATGTTTAATCATCTTATTATCTCATTCCTACTTTGGACAAACTGGCAGGCTACCAAATGTAGCCTGCCCACACGGCAGAATCTGGCAAACTCCCCGTGGCGTACCCAATATGCCAAATACCAGTAACAATGATGGGTCTCATTCTCCTAAAGAGCCTTGAATATAATCTCAGGGCTAGGATGAAGGAGACGTTACTGGGGCTTGCTCGAGACAATCGACGAATAACAGGATGATTTGTGATTTTGTGATCTGGATATTTACTATTATTGATGATGCCCATTGAGCTGGAACGATAGCACAGGATAGGGCATTTGTGTTGTGCGGTGGGCCAGCCAAGCCAGTTCCGATTCTTCTGCCCCTCTTGGAGAGCCCAGCAAGCTACTGAGAGTATCTCGCCCACACAGCAAAGCCTGGCAAGCTACCTGTAATGTATTCGATATGCCAAACACAGTAACAACAAGTCTCACAATGGAAATGTTACTGGTGCCCGATCGAGCAAACTGATGAACAACAGGACAGTGCTACAGTGCTGTAGTACTGTTGTTCATCGATTTGTTCGAGCAGGCCCAGCAACGTCTCCATTGTGAGATTTGTTGTTACTTTGTTTGGCATACTGAATATACCAGGGGTAGCTTGCCAGGCTCTGCTGTGCAGGCGGGGTACTCTCGGTAGCTTGCTCTGCTTTTAGAGAGGGATGGAGGAATCAAACCTGGGTCAGCCACATGCAAGGCAAACGCCCACTGTGCTATCGCTCCAGTCATGCCAACTATATATGGCCAAATATATTCTTCATTTTTAAATTATAATTCTGCTTGCAGGTATTTGAGTATTTAAATAAATGCTTATTTCCTGTACTAGAATTATATTCTTTTCTAAAATTTCCAAAATCTTCTTATAAAGTCTATAAGTTAATTTACAATTGAATTAGAATTTATCTCTGAATACCCAGTGTTTATCAAAAGCAGAACAAATTAAATTTTCTAAGGTATCAAGTTTCCTGTTTACCTGGAAACTTGAAAAGAAACTGATCAGTTTCTTTTCCCTGACCTTGACCTGGAGGGGCAGGCTGGCTTGCAGAGTTCATTACTAAACTTCCCTTATTCCCTAAAAATCTCTCTATCATGACTCTACTGAACTGTGGAAACATGTTTTCTGTGTCTACTTGATTAGACTGCTGATTCTAATCAGTGGTTCTTTGATGAGAGGCAATACTTTTAATTTCTTGAATTCACTACTGCCAGGGTCCTCGTTCTGTCTGTGTCTGTCTGTCTGTCTTTCTCTGTCTCCCCCTTTCTCTCATTCCAGTTCCACCTATTTATGCCAATCAATTTAAGGCATTGATGATGATTATAATTTATGGATGAAAGAGGAAAGGGATACTTGAAGAATGGAAGGTAATAAGAATGATTCTTGCAAAGAAAACAGTTCACTTGTTTCAGGGTTGAATAGCAAGACAACAAAGACAAATGTGTCCCACTTCTTGTCCCGGTTCTCCTTAGCTGGCCTCCCTGCTCTACAGGTTGAAACAGTTGGTGGTCATTTTGCACTTGTGTTTTTAATCTTATAGGGGTGTGGGAGGAGGGGAGGCTGGTGGTGCTCAGGGCTCACTCCTGGCTCTGCACTCAGGGATCATTCCTGGCAGGCTTGGGGAACCAAATGGAGTGCCAGGAATCAGAACCTTGGTAGACCATGTGCAAGATAAACCCGCGATTATACTAATGCTCTGGCCCTTCATTTTGCTCTTTAAAACCTAGCAACTTTATATGGTTCACACACACAAACACACACATACATACTTATTTATTTGAAGTTGGAATATATGTAGAAATAATTTATATGTTAGTTCAACTTTTCCCATCTTGATGTAAAGGAAATTATACCAGAATCTGCAATTGCCTCTTTATTACAATTTTTATTTTTATTTAGTTTTTTGTTTTGGGGTGTTACTGGGCCCGCTCGAGCAAAACTGACGAACAATGAGAGGACAGTGACAGTTTTTGTGGTGGGCGCCAAACCTAGCTGTGCTCATGGCTTACTACTGACTCTGCATTCAGGGATCACTCCTGCTGGCACTTAGGGGACCACTTGAGGTGCTGGGGATGGGAACTCATGCTCCGTTCAAGGAAAGTGCCCTACCCACTCTACAACTGCTCTTATTCCTGTATTAAAATTTTTAATGTGATTGAAATTCTTTTGACATTTTTCACTTTCATTCAAGCATGCTTCCAATATGCAAGTCTCTTGTCTTTAAATGGAGAAAAAAGAATGTCTTCTACAAGTGAGAAATTTAGAAGGAAAATACATAAAATTCTACATGCTACTCCAAAACAAAGGTAAATTTTTAAATCATTATTTACTGCAGTCTCCTGCCCCCGCGCCTGGCTGTCCTCAACGGGGCCCCTTGAAGGGGAGCGGGTTGAGCTTTCCTCCCCGCCCCGACCAGGGCTCTGGCAGCCGAAGACCTCCAGGACCAGCCACCACCATGCTGAGTCCACTCTCCGCATACCTGAAGGTACCGGCAGGGGAACAAAGGCAAGCGGGTCCCGGGGCTCAGATCTCCAAGCCTATTCGGATTGGGGCTGATCCTCCACCCAGATCGGGGCTGGATCCTCCACCCAGATCCTCCGAATTCCAGTAGGCAGGGGTCACACCCACCAACTGGCCCCCTGGAGCCGTGTAATCCCATCAATGGCCAAGACTCAGAGACTATAAAAACCAGCTCCCGGAACCTTATTATGACATCTTATTATGACATCTTATTATCTCATTCCTACTTTGGACAAATTGGCAGGCTACTGAATGTAACCTGCCCACACGGCAGAGTCTGGCAAACTCCCCATGGCATACCCAATATGCCAAATACCAGTAACAATGATGGTTCTCATTCTCCTAAAGAGCCTTGAATATAGCACTTTCTTAAAAATCTCAGGGCTAGAATGAAGGAGACGTTACTGGGGCCTGCTTGAGGCAATTGACGAATAACAGGATGGTCGTGATTCATCGTGATTTACTGAGAATATAATATACAACACACACTATAATAATTTATTTATTTATTTATTAGGGTTTTTGAGGCCACACCTGGCTGTTCTTAGAGCTTACTCTTGGCTTTACACTCAAGAGATAATTCCTGGTGGTGCTCAGGGGACCATATGGGGTACAGGGGATCAAATCTAGATTGGCAGCATGCAAAGCAAGCACCTAACACACTGCACTATCATTTTGGTCTCATCACACAATGTGATAATTTTTAAGTGAACAAAATACTTTTTTGTTTTGTTTTGTTTTCTAGGCCACACCTGGCTCTGTGCCCAGGGATCACTCCTGGTGGAGCTCAGGGGCCATAAAGTGTTTTGGAGATCAAACCCACGGTGGGTCACATACAGGCATGTGTCCGACCCGCTTTACTATTTCTCCAATCCCCCAACAAAAGATGTTTAATCCTGCTCTTGTGGAGCTTACACTTAAGGGAAGAGTTACACTTTGAAAAGTATGGCACTTATATTTTATTAAAATGTGGAGTTGGAGGTGTGGCTCTGTAGTAGTTCACTTGCACTAAAATCTGATTCTTGTCACTGTCTCTGCCCTGCCCCCTGTGACCTACTGAATTAAACTTAATATTAAAAACAAAGCAATTATTTATGGTTACCTGGCTGAACCAAAATTACTACAAGTGAGTGAGCTCATCTAAAATTTGTCTGTCTACCTCTGACTTAACTTCACTTGATATGGCATTTAAAAGGAATTCTAATCAGGACTGGAGAAAGAATACAGGCTGTCTTGCAAGTAACCGAATATGGTTCAAATTCCTGACACTATAAATGGTTCTGAGCACTATTAGGAATAATCCCTGGGCACAGAGTCGGGAGTAAGCCCTGAGTATTTTTGGGTGTGACCCAAGATATCATCCGCCTAACGAAGAAGTTCTAATAAAAATCTACATATCTGACTGCATTTTTTGGGGGGTAATCAAGTTGTCTTATTATTTTCACTTCAGATCTTTCATAAATCAACTAATACTTCAATATCTCGAAATATACAACTTCAAAATCTCCGACATAGGTCAGAGTAAATAAGCTTTGAAATACAAAATTTTAATTCATATCATTACTTAAACCATAAAAACATTTAATTACTTAATTTTTTCATATTTTATAGTGACAAAATGACAAATATCAACAAAAAGTGAAAAAGTTCTTATAGCACAAAATGATTGGCTCACATAGGGAGCCATTTCGAAAAGATGTTTTACAATGGATAACTTAGGAAACACAAAATTATCACTCAGAAATAATGCAGTAGTAAGGGACCAAGGGATAGCTCAGTGGAGAGTGCCTGCTTTGCAGAGATGAAGCTGCAAGTTTGATCCTGACCCGGAAGATGAATGAGTAGGTGCTAAGTGAGATTCTGGTGGCAGAATCACACAAAATGTGATCTCTGCTCATTGCACACAGAATGTGTAAGCACCAAAAATGAAGTATGAAACCCCAGTAAGCACCGCAAGTAAATGTGTGAGCGCCTGTCACTAAAAAGTCACAGATATGTACTAACATGAAGTTATAAATATGTACATAAATTATTTTATTAATTGAAGTGCATCTCCTATGTTTGATGGAAATGGAATTTTCTTTAAAAACATCAAGATTTGGAAGTTAAAGGAATAATACTTCCTGTATATTACCTGAGATGGTGCAAAACCAGACATATGAAAAGCTGAAAACACAAGTGGCACTTCTGCCTTTAGTAGCATTTCAATATAATGAGTGCTGCAAAAGTATACAGGGTGGATGCCAGATTTTATGATATCAGTAGGTAGGTATTTCTGCATAAAAAGAGAATTAATAAAATTAATGAATATGAGATTAATTTAAAAATAATCAAATAAACTTACCTAGTTTTTCTTTTTCTAAGTTGCTTTTTCATTATTAATGTGATGGCATAAGAACTGAAAATATTACAATTATTTAAATTTAAAAAACATGTTTAAAACACCAGAGAAAAAACAAACACCATGATATAATTTCCAAGACTCTGGAACAAAGTTAATACTTTATAACTTATAACTTTGATAACTTTAATTCCTTGTAGAATAATGGAAAGATATTTCATAAAAATGAATAAATGCATGGCAGAGTACATGAAAATGTTTTAGATAGTAACCCCAAGTGTATTTCAATATGCTTAGTATCCTTGGCTTTGATCAATAATTCTATATTGTATAAAATGTTTCAGGTTATTAATTCTTTTTTGTTGTTTTTGGCAGTGCTTAGGGCTTACTTCCAGCCCTGTGCTCAGGAATCATTCCTGGTGGGCTTGGGGGACCATATGGAGATCTGGGAATAGAACCTGAGGATTAACTCCAGGTTGGCTAATTGCAAAAGTCCAACAAGATGACTATGGATCTTGCCCCTAGGAAGTTAATTCTTAAGAATAGTTGCTTAATTCCCTTTTCCTTTCTTGTGAATTTTATTAAAGCACTATGATTTACAAAGTTATTCATTGCTGGGTTTCAGGCATATAATATCCCATCACTGATCCCTAGTTCCTATTTTCTAAGTTGTAATGTTAAGTAACTCATTTCTAAACCTGAATTACAATGAACTGAAATGAGAAGCTCTCCAAGAACTACTTCTATAAAAATCAAGCGGGAGGGTTGAAGGGAGAACACATAATGCATTCCTTCTAAAGTTCTCAGGTCATCTATATATTAAATTTTATATCTATTAGTGACTGCATATGTACACATTGATACATTTACAAACCTAGCCTTTTCAACAATTTCTTCATAAAGTGGGCTAATTTTAAATTTATATCTTAGGCAAAATATAGCCTCATAAATTTTTAATGATTTACTATAAAATCCGGCAAGCTACTGAGAGTATCTGGCTTGCACGGCAGAGCCTGGCAAGCTACCCGTGATGTATTCGATATGCCAAACACAGTAACAACAAAGTCTCCAATGGAGATGTTACTGGGCCCGCTCGAGCAAATCGATGAACAACGGGAGGACAGTGACAGTGACAATAAAACCATTTTTAATTGCAATAACATTGATATGAATAAGAATAAACATAAATTTTGTCCAAGAAAAAATTATCTATTGACTATATTCTATACAATAAAATTAATGCTTATATTAGTAGCACTGTTGCACTGTCGCACTGTCCTCACACTGTTCATCAATTTGCTCGAACGGGCCCAGTAACATTGTAAGATTTGTTGTTACTGTGTTTGGCATATCGAATACATCACGGGTAGCTTGCCCGGCTTTGCCATGCGGGCAAGATAATCTCGGTAGCTTGCCGGGCTCTCCGAAAGAAGCAGAGGACTTATATTAGTTACATATGAAAAATACATAATAAAGACATGTTTTTAAAATGTAATCTATGTTATTTACTTGGAAATTTTCCTTTTAAGCGTGAACCTCAAACATGAAAGATTTTAACTGTACCTCATGGTGACTGAATTGAAAAAAAAAAAAAGCAGCAGACCTAGTTATATCCCCTGTACCACAGATAGTCTCCTGAGATGAGAACCACCAGGAGTGACCCATGAGCAAAAATCTTAAGAGTAAACCCTGAGCTTGTCAGGCATGACCCTAAATCAGAAAAAGATAAACTAAAATCATTTAAAAAATGTGAGAGGGTGGCACGATTGTGTAGTCTTGCATGTGCCAGACCAGGGCTGAATCTTCAACACGCCATGTGGACCCTGAACCCCCACATATGTGATCCGAGTAAGAACAGTTTGGTATAGCTCTGTCACTGTCACTGTCCTCCCATTGTTCATCAATTTGTTCGAGTGGGTCCAGAAACATCTCCATTTTTGAGACTTGTTTTTCCTGTGTTTGACATCACAGATAGCTTACCAGGCTTTGTCGTGTAGGTGAGATACTCTCGGTAGCTTGCCCGGCTCTCCGAGAGGGGTGGAGAAATTGAACCCGGCTCTGCTGGGCTGGGTGTGCACAAGGCAAATGCCGGGTGTTGGTAATTGGCGGGGGGGGGGGGGGGGAGGAGGGGGCGGGACTCAGGGTAATCCTGTAAGAAGTTTGAGGGGGGAAGGAGGTGCTAGAGAGACAGTACAGTGGGTAGGATGCTTTCCTTGCATTATGCCAAACAGGGTTCGATCCCCAGCACCTTGTATTGACTCCAGCCTTATTAAGAGTGATGAACATAGAGCCAGGAATAAACCCTGAACACCATCAGGTATGGCCCCCACACAAAATCAAACCAAAAAATATAAAGAATGCTTGGGAAGAAATTGGGTCATTCTTAGAGGTGCTCAGGGACTATCCTATAGAGGAGATCAAACCCAAGGCAAGTCAAAACATGAGCACCAGCTCATTTAACTATCTCTCTGACATTACAGTTGATACTTTTAAACTGAAAGAAATAAAAATGACAAATAACAAAGTCATGATTTAAAATAAGGATTTCTTTCCCTTTATTCAAAACTTTTAAGGATTTGGATTTTAGTTATGTAACAAAATCTGTGAAGTATTTTGAATTCTGGGTCACACCCAGTGGTACTCAGGGCTTACCTGGCTCTGAGTTCAGAGATTATTCCCAATGGGGTAGGGTGAACCATATGGAATGCCAAGAATGGAACCCAAGTTAGCCACATGCAAGGCAAGAGCTTTACTGTTTATACTATCTTTCTGGCACCCGATAAGTTGAGGTTTTTTTGTTGTTGTCTTCCTTTCTTATTTTCACCATCATATATAGTAACTCACCACTGTATAAAATATACAACATATAATACCTATATATTTAAGACAGGTTCTTAAGTAAATATCATACAATACATACACAAAAATTAACTATATGTAATTAACTTTATTTAACTATATGTAAGTTGTCATATGATGACTAAAGATAGTCATGGCAGATTAAATCAACAGTAGTCAACTTCCGATGAGTCTTAAGAAGAAACAAGAAAAAAATTAACTTTTCACCGAATGGCTAAAAATAACATGAACTGACAAGAATTATTGTCCTTTGATTCACAGTTTTTGCACACAATGCATTTTGTTAATAACTACATGTAGAGTATAATTTAAAAAATCTAATAAACATGTATAACAGTAAAAAATCAAAATTTACATACACATTTTGATTTTTAATGAATAATTGAGTAAAATTTTCTTAATAAACATAATGATAGCATAAAAATGTACATGTAGGAAATATTTCTTAAATAGTACCTATGTTATGCTGTACTTAATATTTGGATCATACTTTTTAATAGAGACAACAGACTAATTAATTTTATCCATAAACAAGTCTTTATTATAATAGATTCAGAAGATAAAACAAAACTCTTCAATTTTTTTATAGTTTCTACTCTATTGAGTATAAAAAATTACTCAATACTTTCTGACTACTAACAGACTTCCTAGCACCAAACCTCACATAGAGGAGCTAGCTACTTAACAAATTACCGATCAAATGGCAAGAATATTGTAATTACACACTGCAACCACAGTAAACTGTCTTATAATAAAGTTTTATTGCCAATTAATTGCCTTCTCACTACTAATTTACAGTAAATGGAATGGCTTTCATAAAATCTGGTCAGTAGTGACAATTTTTGCCATATAAATAAAAAGGTCTTTTGAATTATCAGAGTATAAAGCACATATTTTATACTTTTAGTGTTTTGTGTATTTTGCTTAGTCATAACTCTCTACAATTATGGCAACTCTTTTAAAAAGACAACTTTAAACAAAATTCAGAATATAAATATCTTCAAATGATATGCTTTCAATTTTCATTTCGTATGAGTAATGGTAATAATTTAAGAAGTGTTAAGAAATCTACCTTCTATAAGAGCACAGATAGAAAAGTGATCCTCCTGCCTTGCAATGCATCTGAGATTATAACCCCCAAAAAGGATCTGGAGTTTTCCTACTGGGGGGTGTAAAGTGGGGCATTATTATGTACTATAGAAAAAAATGCCTTAGGACAATTTTTAAAACCATGCAATGCAATTTTTTTTTTTAAACAACTGAGGCTCTAATACCTTTTGAATATGTTTTCTAAAGTAGTATGGGTCTACTACTCCTTATATATTTCTATCCAATGATTAACCTCCACTCTACATACTTTGTTAAATAAATACTATTGGCCACAGTTTGGGATGAACTAAACAAAATCGGGTCCTCAGTTTGCTGATATCTAAGTGTCTTAATAATATGTAGATAAATTAAGCAGCACAGTACAAATTAAATGAACCATGGAAATAGAGAGAAATACAACAAGGTTAATGAGGTCAAAGAATGTGGGGCTAAGAGATTAAGGGTGACCTAAATAAAGTAGAGAAGTCTATGCTATTAATAACTAACAGTAAACCATGCTACCATAATTGCATATTTGCTTATTTATAATCCTGCAGAGAATCTGTGAGAACAATGCTTTAGACTAAATGGAGTGGAAACAAAACAAAACAAAACAAAAAATACATCACCTTTAAAATAACACCTGAAGATATTGTTAAATAGATGCTAATAACTGTCGAAAAAGACACAAATACTCAACTATTAAATCAAAAATATTTAAACTGCTGACATTTGTAACTATATTTAGTTATGAGTACCCCATAGAATCCTAGAGAGGATCTCAGCAAAATGCTATTTATTCTAAAAATAAATTTTAAAACAAACTGCTGATAATAAATATTCAACTTGGTATGCTCGGTATACTCTGTATACTAAGAAAAGCACTATATAAGTCTTTGTTGATGATATACCCACATCAATTTCTTTTAAGAAAAAAGAAAGGTCTCAAGCCTTTCATTAAGAATCAATTTGAAGAACCTCAAGTAACTGTTACTCTATTTAATTCATAATCTATGTTCCATATTTATTTTTTATTTGGTGGTTGAGAGGATGATTTGGGACCATATCTAGCTGTGATAAGGATTGAGACCATGCTAGCTTCATGCAAGGCAAATGTCCTACCCATTGTACTGTCTCTCCGGCCCCTCTACATTCCACTTAAAATGATAGTATCAAAATTGCAAATCTAATGAAATCTGAGTTTCTAGAGTCCTGCCTGATTTAAATTTTAGAGAAAGAAATGCTATCAGAACATATTGTTACTGTCATTTGAGCAAAAAAAAAGTAGGATAGTCAAAATGCTAGAATGTAGATATCTTTTTTAAAAATAGTTGAAATAAAAATGTGATGGATTTAAAATTATTCCTTATTTATCACCTCCCCCTCAAAATTCCAATACAACAATATAGTACTTTCTTTGTAAATAAAAGTGAAAATACATGAAAAATCTTCATATATAATTTTAAGAATTGCTCATTTACAAAATAACTGATATAGATCCACTGATTTAAGAAAAAATACATTGACTTTTTCTCCCCTGCTTGCTTCGTCCTATTGTATCAGTAAATTTTTTCATTATGCTAATTTAAAAGTGATAGAAAATTTAACTCAGGAATGAAAAAGAGCTATTTCAAGAATAAAATAACATTTTAGTACTTATTTTTTAATATTGTTTTCCATATGACAAATAATTCATGCCAGCAAATGAATGTAAAAATAGAAGTAAAATAACTATTAAACCATGAATCATGTAATAAATGTGTCATTTATTATAATATCTATAATACCTGGAAACCATAACTTATCAATGAGAACCACATGATTTCATTGTTCATATGCAACATATCAGTGAAAAGGTTTAGGAGAACTAATATAGCTAATATTGCAAATATTTTCCCCAAATGACCGTAAGCAAATAAGTAAAACAAAATACAGAAGCATCAACAAATTTAAAGACTTACCTATAAATCAAACTCTGAGATCTCACAGAATTAGTAAAATCTCTTCAAGATACTATCTTAAAGACAAAGTATTTTAGATTGTGAAGAGAGAATTGGGGGTGGGATGGAGGCGGGAATGAAGACCAAGTTATAGGTGACTCTAAAAATAATAGAGTATTTTAGATAACAAAATGGATTACTAAGCAGAGGATTTTGGGTGGGGAGGGCAAGGAGGTGGGAATGAAAACCAATCAAGAAGTGACACAGGGACAGTGGTGGAGGGTTGTGGGCATTTTTGTGGTGGTGCGTTTAAAACTTTTGTATATAAATACTATATAATTTAACACGATTGCAAACATTTTACCAAAGGTACAATAAAATAAAAAATTTTAAATACCTGAATCAGCTGGTAAGGAGCTTACCTTATACACGGCAGACCTGGGTTCAATCCTGGGCACCCTATATGATCCCCCAATTCCCACAAGTCCCAATGGAGTGATCCCTGAACACATAGCCAGGAATAAGCCCTGAGCACCTTTGGGAGAGCCTCCAAAACAACAACAAAAGGAATTTAATAAAACTCATTAATTGCTTCCAAGTAGTAAATAAAGGCTGATATTTCTCTACTGAGCATGTTAAATTCTTACCTAATAAATTAGTTGCTTTAAATTTTGGTTTTTGTTTGTTTGGGTGCCACACCTGGCATTGCTCAGGGCTTATTCTTGGCTCTACACTAAGGGACGATATGGATGCTGGGGACTGAACCCTACGTGAGTCAGCCATGTTCAACGCAAGTGCCTTACCCACTGTCTTATTTCTCTAGTCCTTTTAGTTTTAATTTAAACAGTTGATTCTTTGTGTTTTGTTTTTCCTTTTTTTCGGTGCTAGAGTTTGGACACAAGGTTCTACCACTAAGCTACACCCCTACAGTAAATACAGATTTTTTTAAGGGAAAAATATTACAAAATCTTCAATTTATAGTTCTTGTAAAACATTTTATGATTTACTACATTAATTTAAATGTTAATGATGCATCTATTATTATTGACCTTCCTTCAGTTGTCATTAAGGCACAAAGTATTTTAGGAATAAATAAAAATAAATAAATAAATAAATAAAGTATTTAGGAAAATGTCAAATCTGTATTTTCAAGAGAATTAGTGAAAAGGATGCAGGTAAAAAATGGACAAATTATTATAAAGCATTCACAAATAAAATGAAATGATCTCAGCAAATTTAACCACAACTTTCCTAAAACTTAAAACTCTAACAATTAGAATATAATATCTTACAGAAATATGTAGTCTTGGCAACCAAAGAAATGCAGAGGTCAGAAGCCTGGAGAACTGCTGAAGAAATCTGAATGTTTTCTCTTTGTTCCCCAACATTATTATGAACAAAGAAGACACAAACCAGTCATGGCCAGGATAACTCCCCTGAAGACAGACTGAAAACCATAGTTAAGGAGTTTTTACAAAATTCTGACTTAGGGCCAGAGTGCTAGTACAGAGGATAGTTTACTTGCTTAGTACCCGGGCAAACCAGCAGCCCACTAGTCCTCTGCGTTCTGCCAGAAGTAAACCCTTAGCACCACCAAGTGTAGTCCCTAAACAAAACAAAACAAATTTTTGGCTTACAAGATGAAAGTAAGAATGCCATGAATATTTCTTTGCAGGATCTCTCTCAATGAGAGAAGAGACAGAAATACCACTTAGACCTCAATTTGTCTTTACTAATTTGTAAGTTACTGAAGAAAAAATCAAGCTTTCTTAACAAAAATAATCACTTTTAACTGTATTAATGTATTATTTGTATTATTTGCTTATCTGTCCAAGTGGTAGTCAGTGGTACAAGCAACTAGAGGAAAGTCTGTTCACTTTCAAGAAACATGATTGCCGAAGTCCTGGCAAAACAGTACCATTAGGTTCAGGTTGTCTGCTAAATCACTAGCAAAAGTAGTAATTTAAAAATCATACATTCTATGCTTAAAAAAATACAAATGTTATGTATAGTTTTTCTTCAAATTAAGCCCTATTCCTAAAAGACAACCATTCAAATAAAGTAATAACAAGAGGCTTAAAAAAAAAAAAGAAACAGTCTTATTTTGAATTCACCAAAGCTATTTTTAAAACTCTGATAGTTCTGTAAATATGTAATAACTGTTGCCATTTAATTTAGCTAAATAACTATTATGTTTAGATTTACTTTGGTCAGAGATAGTCCTCCAATTTCACTTGGATAATTTTGACATTTTTATTATCATTGGTTGACAACAGTACAGAGTTGCAGGGCGTAGGGCTTACTTTACCTATCAAAACAAATCCTCTCTCCAAATTTCCACACACTTCTTTGCCTCCAGGAAACTCCATAGTTTACAAGTTAATTTTTTTTGAGTCTGACCAGTTTGCTTTAGCTATTCTCGCTTCACATCTGAGTAACCGTCTTTCCCTCCGACTTACTTAATGTAGAATAATCACCAAAACTTAATTTAATCCCAAATGATACAATTTCATTGTTTTAATGGCAGAATAGGATTTCTCTTAGTATACACCGCATCTAATTTATTCACACATCTTCATTTAGATGGATTCCATCTCCTGGTTACTGTGAGTAATGCGGATAAGAACAGAGGGGTATAAAATGCCTTTGAAATTAATATATTCTTATTCCTCTGAAAATAAGTCCAGAAGTACCTACTGGCTAAGATCTATGGTATTTCCATTTTAAGAAAACTTCATACAATTTTGAGTAGAGGTTAAGCCAATCTGTATTCCCACTAACAGTGCACACTGCACTTTCTCTTTCCAAATCCATGACATTTGTTGTTTCAATCTTTTAAGTTGTTATTTGCATTTTTTAATAAGAACTGATGTTGAACATCCATGTATCAGTGGACAATCTGGTTAAATATAGTCTTTGGTTTCTCAGGTCTTTTCCCATTTTTGTGATTGGATTGCTTATTTTGAGTGTGTGTGTGTGTGTGTGTGTGTGTGTGTGTGTGTGTGTGTTCCTTGTGTACGCTGGTTATCAGTCATATGTCAGGCAAATGACGTGCAAATATTTTATCCCAACTGCTAAGCTGGTTCATTATATTTGTGTGAGTTTATTTCACTGTGTAGAGAGTTTTAAATGTGATGCAGTCCCATTTGTTTATTCTTGCTTTTATTTACCCTTAGTGTATCCAATTACATGTCTGAGGTATTTTTTCCCATGCATTTTATGTTTTGGAATTTAATATAAAAATCCCTTAATACATTTTGTGTTAAATTTTCTTTATAGATTCAAACAGGAATCTAATCTTAAGTTTCTGCATGTGGTTTTGCCAACTAAAGAGATTTTCATTTTCCTCTGAAAGGACATGGCTTCATTATTTTGTAGATTAAATTTCCATATATTTATGTGGTTTTGCTGCCATATCTAGTCCATTCTATTGGTCTGTGTTCCTGTTTTGCTATAGTACAATGCTGCTTTAATTACTATCATTTGGTAATTGTTTGAAATCAGGGAGCCTGATGTTTCCATTTTGCTTCATTTCTCTCAGAATTGCTTTGGTCTTTGGTTGTGCCATGAGATATTTAGAATTTTTTTGTTCTATTTCTGTAAAAAATGAAATTGACATTTGGATAGAGCTATACAGAATTAGACTGCTTTTGATAAGGTGGCAGTTTTAATAAAGTTTGTCCTTCCAATCCTTGAATATGGGATGTCTTTCATATTCTTTGGCTTCTGGAATTTTAGGAATGTTTTATAGTTCTAATGTTTATAGCTTTATACAATAAAAGTTTTAAAGTATTTATTCATTATTTTTATAATTTACAATATTTACATTTAATAGTAAATGCTGGGCTGAAGCGATAGCACAGTGGGTAGGGCATTTGCCTCGCACGTGGCCGACCTGGGTTCGATTCTTCCATCCCTCTTGAAGAGCCCGGAAAACTAATGAGAGTATCCCGCCTGCACAGCAGAGCCTGGCAAACTTCCCATGGCATATTTGAAACACCAAAAACAGTAACACTAAGTCTCACAGTGGAGACATTACTGATGCCCACTCGAGCTAATTGATAAACAATGGGAGGACAGTTCTACAGACAGTGCTAAATAATATTTAGTGATGCTAATATAGTTTTCAATATATAGTCACTATATCTCTTTTGTTAGGCTTATTTACAGCGGGTAGGGTGTTCGCCTTACACGCGGCCAACATGGCCGACCCGAGTTCGATTCCTCCGCCCCTCTCGGAGAGCCCGGCAAGCTACCGAGAGTATTCGATATGCCAGACACAGTAACAACAAAGTCTCCAATGGAGACGTTACTGGGCCCGCTCGAGCAAATCGACGATCAACGGGAGGGCCTTTACCTTTACCTTTACCTATTTACAGTTATTTTTTGGATGCAACTATAACAGACTTTAACATTTTTTTCTTTGCTCTGTTCAATGTGTGTAGAAATATAAGCAATTTCTATGCATTGATTTTATGTTCTGACATGACTAAACTCATTATTCATTTCTGGTAATTTTTGGTAAAGTTTTTGGGGTTTCTGTGTATACTATCATTTCATCAAAAAAATAATTCATTTTCCTTCCCTTCGAATGTATATTCCTTCTACATCTTTTTGTCCTTTAAGTTCTCTGGCTAGGGATTACAAAACTAGACTGAAAGTCTTGCTTTAAATCTCAGGAGAAAATCTTTTACTTTATACCACTGAGTATGGCATGAGCTATAGGTTTGTCATACATGGCCTTTTGTATTCTCAGGTATGTTACTCTTATGTATAATTTACTACTTTTTAAAATCATAAATGGATAATGAATATTGGCAAATAATTGTCCAGAATCTGTTTACATGATCATGGGATTTTTATGTTCTTGTTTTTGCTGATAGTGTAATACGTTCATTCGTTTTATGTATGTTACACCATCCTTGCATCCCTGGAATGAATCTCACTTGGTCATGATGAGTTATCTTGATTCCATTCTATTTACCAAGATTTTGTTGCGGTTTTGTGCATCACTAGATTTATCATTTGGTAGTTTATATTTTGTCTGCTGTTATGTTCTGGTTTGGGGATCTGTATAATTGCCTCATCAAATGTGTTTGCGTGTGTTTCCCCATTTCAAAATATGTGCAACTGTTTGAGCCAAATTTAGTATTAGTTTTTTGAAAGATTTGTAGAATTTATTGGTGAAGTCATTTGATACTGGACTTCCGTTCTCAGGGCACTTTTGATTACTGTTTCAATTTTTGTACTTGAGATTGCTCTTTTTCAGGTACATATTTCTTTCTGACGTAGTCTCAGACCATTCTATGACTTTAAAAAAATGTTATTATCTGGGCACAGACATAGTGTTTGACTTGCATCTTATTACGAGATAGGGTGCTTGCCTTGCACACAGCTGACTTCAGCTCAATCTGTTGCCACAGGACTCCTGGCATGTCAGAAGTGATTTCTGATTAGAGAGCCAGGACAAAGTCCTGAGCACCAATAGGTGTGGCCTCTAAAACATATATATATATATGATATACATATATACACATACATACATATATACACATACATACATATATACATACACACATATATATGTATATAAGTTTTATATACAAATATATTTGCTTGCAAGTAGATATTTATTGTAGTAATCTCATAATCCTTTGCATTTCTGTAGTACTATCGATACCTTTGTCTCTTTAATTTCTTATTCTTTTCATTAATTGTCTCCTCTCTCTTCACCACTCTCCTCTCATTGTCTAATAAAGTTATATCTACTTATTGATTCTGTCAAAGAACAAGCTACTGATTTCATTGATATTTAGCATCATCATTCTGGTTTCCATCTTATTTCTATTCTAGTTTTTATTATCTTCTTTTTTCTGGTGATTTTTGTTTGTATTTCTCTTTCCTTCAGATATAAGGCTGGATTGTTTACTTGAGACTGTTATTATATACTCAGGTGGGCTTATATTCCTAAAAATATCTCTCAATATTGCTTTTGCTGCATCCTATATAACTTCCTCATTTTCACAGTTTTTTGAGTAATTTTTGTACTTTAACTTCTTCATTTATTCAGAAGTATGTTGTTTACTCTCTCTGAGTTCTTTTCTGTTTTTTTTTTAATTTCTAGCATCATGATTAGTGGTTGAAAAGATTCTTGATATTATCTCAATCTTCACATGTTTATTAAGACTTCTTTGAACCCCAACTGTGATTTATAAGATTGTTTCATATACAGTTGAGAACACATTTTTTTATTTAATGTCATAATTTTTCTGTTAATTTTTTTTTGTCCAGATGACCTGTCCATTGTTGTAAATTGAGTATTGAGATCTCCTATAATGACCGCATTATTGTTAGTGTATCCTTCGGAACTATTATTAATTGGTCTGTATCTTTGGAAACCCCTATGTTGAGTGTACTACTATTAATGACCACTATATCCATTAATCC